ATACCGCCCCATTAATGCCAGAGGGCTCGAGAGTGCGTTGCTGGCCTTTTAAAATTATTACTTATATTATTAATTCTGTTGTAAAGTTTTTAGGTAATTTATTTATTGAGATATAAAATATTTTTGCATTAATTCAAATTAATAATTTAATCTGTTTTAAGTGTCATAATAATTATTCAGTATATTAATTTAGATGAATTTTCATATAAAATAGAGCTTTGTAAAGGGTATCTATAATTAGCCAGGGACTGAGTAAACATTATTCCATAACCATTGTAGCAGAAAGGTTTAAAAAATACTTTTAATTTGTAATACATTTTAATGTTAATAAACGATTTATTTGTTTTCGCAGTCGCCATTAATAATTAAACATTATAAGTATGACGGCGAGGACGACAAATATATAAACGATTTAAAAACGTAATATAACTATTCTATCAAACCTACCTTTAAATCAAACGAACACTATAGTAAAATCACACAATTCAATTCGAAATTAATTTCACGACATAGTAACTCGAGAAATTTCGCGCGATAGTCCGTAGTTTGCAACGTTTCAACACTGTATATCGCATTTATAATAATATATTTTACATATAATAGAAATAACGGACATACATCAATCCATTTATCGATTTATTTTAGTAACACTCTCACACGCGTCAACCTCAGCCCGGGACGGGCGGTAACTGAGCTCTGACAGCCCGAGTGCTGCCATCTAAATTATCGATGCGCAGCTGTCAAAATTCGCAGCCATAGACGCGTTTCTTTTTAGTTTGGAGTTTACTGTTTATGCTTTTTAATAATATAGTCTACCTGTTGAATATAAAAACATGACTTTTAGAGACTTTTGGAGATATTGATTTGAAATTAAAATGTCATTGAAATTGTAATATTCCGTGTTTCAATGGGGCATGTAAACAATTTTTTTGATAGCATGTCAGTGTTTGCATAAAATATTATTCTGTTGGGATTCTCATTAAAATCACTAAGCACGGGGCACAGACACGAAAGTGTTTAATTACTTATTAGCAAGGGGAAAAGCTTCAAGCTTAATTATCGTGGAAATGCCCGATTTTGAGATAATCCACCACCTTGAACTTTTGATCTTTCCCGTAGGGCACCCTCTGTTACTCTAGGTCTCTTGGTGAAGACATCCTGTACTTATGGTATGGTATGGTGGACTCACTTGCACTCATAATTGGTTCGTTGTGCGTAAAGTCCTGGCTAATACAGCCAGCCTAGCTCCTTCCAGAAGCACAGAAATCTTCGGGCACTTCACAGGCTTCACGGAACGACCACACTGCTCCGAGAATTTCTGCTCGGCATTCCAGGACTACGTGGGTGACTGATTCCTCTGCGCTTATATATATTCAGTTGTTAGGTTCTTAGGTCTCATCCTCTCATATATATCTATTCACAGTCCATTTAACCAGTCCAAATAACCTGTGATGCCGGTTATTTCATCAGCGCAATCAAGCTAATTAGAGAGTTCTGTTTGCGCCTGATACGACCTGTGACCTAATGCTTTCCACGACGAATAAGTATCGCAATACAGCGAGGAAATGCCAGCGATATACTGGCACAGGGACCAAACGTTTTAAATTTGTTTTAATTTTCTATTTATCAATTTTTTATTATTATAATCCCTAAGTAGGTTAAGAAGATTCTAATTACTTGATATATATTTGATATGAATCGATCTTTATTGATAACTAGGTTTCGCGAACTTTGTTTCGCCTTAATATGATTTTACTTAGCCCACCTTAGTACCAACATATGAACATTTTGCTATGCTATCAAAGAAACGATTCGCTTTATCGTAAAAAAACCTAAGTAATAAATAAAACTTTTTTTTATAGATTTCAATTTTTTCTCTCCATAAAAACCTTTCTCAGAGTGCAATTAAAGCAGGGGTTCGAACCTACGACCTCAGGAATGAGAGTCGCAGGCTGAATCCAACTAGGCCAACATTGATTTTAATCAAGCTTATTCTAAATCAGAACAGAATTCTCGACGTTTCAACGGTTTCACTAGAATATCTTTTTACTTATAACGTTTTCTTAATAACTTATATTATGTATATACATAGGACCCCTAAGATTTATATATCTATATATATATAAATCTTTGGATCCTATCTATATACATAATATAAGTAATTAAGATTATATAGAAGAGGCCTATGTGTCACAAGACACGCTGACTACCTAAAACGGGTCAAGTGACTTCAGATTCAGTTTTATTTAGGTATTAGAATTAAGTGTTTTTTTTATGTAACTTTTTTTTTATATATAAAAGGGGGGGCAAACGAGCTTGCGGGACGACCAAAAAGGGCAGTCTGCGCAGCCCATAGACACCCACTTGTAGTTGTTATTATATTGTACTGGGTGTCAGCTATAAAGGCTTAATAATAATAATAATCTTAATAAATATAAATTACGTGTCACGTTCTTTGTCCGCTATGGACTCCTAAACTACCGAACCGATTTCAATCAAATTTGCACACCGTTGACCGTGTGTAGTTTAATACAACTTACAAGATAGGATAGCTTACATCTCAATTTATACCCGCAATATTATTTTTTTGCAAAATATTTGTTTATTATTTGATAGTATAAATTCTAACAGATGGCGCTGTGTTGAAAGTACCAACGTTTCAAACAAGCTACAATTTAATGGCATTACCAAAAAAGCATGAATAGGTTACTACTATGTAATATAACTAAAACCTTAGCCACAGCGACGCTTGGCCGGTCTGCTAGTAATATATATATATAATACCACCAGAACCAGTCTACACAGATTCCCGTCGACAACTTTATGATGTTCGCAGAGTGATTTCACAGTAGTGATATTGTGTATTTAATATTATATAGGTATATTTAATTTTGACGCTATCGTATTGACTTACTACTGTAAAGATGTATGTATTTTTGTGAATAAATAAATATATTGCACCCTTTAAACTAAATCACTAATTTCTGTCCAAGCGTAAACGCAATTTGATAGTAAGGAACGCAAAAGTAAACCAGCTACTAGATTTCTTAAAAACGTTAACGAAGTATTTCCAACTAAGCATATATAACTACAACTTCTCCACTTCTTCGAGCCTGTCAGACTGGTCGAGGATCCTGCCTTTAAGGAGGAACAGTACACAATTCTTCTTCCACAGACTATAGGAATGAGAATTGTTTTTGAAAACCCCAAAAAAAAGTTTGTTATTATGAATCGTTTTACATTTATCATAAAAAAAAGGGTGCGTGTACTTATGTACGCGCGTAAGAAGTTATACTTCTTTGGCATTATTAAAAATAGTTTTTGATTGCATGCAAATAATTTATTACAATTAAATAATCAAAGACTGGAAAAGGAGTCATGATAGTCAATAAAGTTCAGTTTACATTTGAAAAATTTAATCAATAAATATTTATTATTATTCTATTACATTAAGTGTAACATAAATTCTATTATTATTCGAATGTTGTTTTTAAATTATGTCCAATGCCGTAGCATCTTCCGTGGGCAACTTCATTCTGTTAATTTTGTGTCACGGTGCGCGCGCATCGTAAAATTTCACTCTCATAAATTTTTCATAACGCGCCTAAAGAAGTATAACTTCAAAAATAAATTACCCTTAGTGTTTCTTTTCCTTTAATAGGGTTGCCTGGAAGAGATCGCTTTATAAGCCCTGTTGCCTCCTTAATAAATTTTTCTGATTGTATTAATCAAATATTAATAAATAAAACAAAAATATTCATTTAATTTTTATTCCAATCTTCAACAGGAACTATAGACCTCCATTCTAAAATCACATTTATTTTATAATAAATAATAAATCTTCAAAATACGCTAAATTCTTTATAAAAAATAATTTTTCTTAAATACAATCTGATGTTCGATAAAATAATTAACAGAGCGCCAAACTTGGATTAGTTCCTATAATCGAAAACAGATGCCGCGCAGATATGTGTCAAGTTAACTAATGCTAAACAGATGGGGGCGCAAATACGAAAACGTTATGTAATTAAATAATAAAATAAGTTAAAATGTTAAATAACATTAATAGTTAGGTCACTAGGCGAGCATTGCCAAAAATTCGCACAAATTACGGCAAAAGTGCCGATGTTTGAGTGGGCGCCATATTGAATAGCCTGGCTGCGTCTATTATAAGTGACAACTGACGACCAAGTTGGCGCCTTTAAGAGACGTTTGGCTTTATTACTGTCAATAAATTATAGATTTGTTGTTGTTTCTTATTATTTTAGTTTGTTTTCTTTTTGGTGATGTGTAACTGTTAACAAATGTTACCGTGTAAATTTAAAGTAGTAACAGAAATTAAAGATTCTAAAACCATAAATAATATTTCAACCTTATTAACCTGTAAAATTAGACAACATTTCATGTGTAAAGGCGCTTTTACGGGCAGCTTTAGCTAACCTGACAACCACGACATCTATTTTCAAGTATTGTAAACTCAAAACATTCGTTATGTTGACTATCTGCCAATTATTTAAATCACTTTGCACCGTTGCATGTAGTCCTTCTTAAAAGGTTAACCCATCTTTTTCTGTCTGCTTATCCACAATAAGGTATAATTATATATAGCGCTAAGTCGGACCCCCATACGTAAAAAATTTACTGTATTTTGACATAATCATAGCATTCTAAATCTCATTTTTAGTATATCAACAAAACATATTAGGTAATTTCAGGGTAATTTTCATACATCTAAAGCTTGCTATATGTATATAATAAATTTACTGGCTTATAAGATGCAATTCAATATTCACCAAAACAATATTTGTTTTCAGTTCTTGTCTTATATGCCCTAACAGGGCAAAAATGATTTTTTTTTAATGTAACAGGTAAATTCTTACAAAAAAATATTTAAAGTAAACTATTTAATCCTCCAAAATTAAAAACATATACACATTAAAAAGTATATTTTACAAACGCATTCACACATTCACAATAGTCTTTCCGGTATGGCAACATTATCATACCATATTTCTGCCGTTGTCACCTGCTATCCGGTCAACAATCTGCAAAAAAAAACAGTTGTTAAAATAATAAAACAAATTTAAAAACTGACTTCAGCTGGGACTAATGAGAATTAACTCTTGACACTTCATTGCGGGTTTTTGTCATTGTTTTAAAACCAAACATTTAGAATAATATAAAATGAAATTAACAATATAGTAACGCACGCGAAACGTCGGATAAATTTAAAATTATGTTAAATAGTTGTAAATTTATAATAATACATAACTTCAATCCGGTCAAAATAGTGTTTTATTAACAATATTTGTTCGATTTTTACTTGATTAATTTGCATACATATTAGTGAACCAGTATGAATGACTTTCCTCATCCCAGGGCATGTTTAAATACCACTTTCTTCGAAACTTAGCGCTATTGAGAGTTATCCGCCATAGAATACAACAAAAAAACACTTCGGCAACAGAAAACAATTGCTAAACTCTTCCTGTATTATATTAAATTTATATGCAAACAAAATTAATATAAATTATACCCCTCCTATGATCGGTAGGCTAAGTAGTGAACCAACAACTGGCACCATTCTGAGGAAGTTCACTGCGGCTGGTAGGAAACCCCTGAAAACATACAATAAAAATTCTTAACAAAAGATGAAATAAATACAGACAAAAAATTATTATTTATGTGTTGTTTTTCATGTTCTTTGTATTTTTATTTATAGTCACTGTTCCACAACACCTATACTTTATCAGTAAACAACATTAGTTCCATGTTAACAGAATGTCTGTGTCAACATTATTTAATTTTATTTTAAAAGAAATATTTTTATTTCATGTGTTTTTTTTTATTTCTACCAAATAATAACTCTAGCGTACAAATGGCCTAAGCATTAGCCAGCCAGTTTATGAAATGTTACGCTACAGCTGAATATCTTTTAGGCTGCAAGTTAAACTGCGCCATTTAGTTAAAAGCTAGGCTGTTAATTGAACGGCTACTAGTTGGCTGCGTCATATATAATAGAAATAATTGTACATAGAACCATTCAATCAATTTCCAATTAGACAATATATTATAAATTCAATCATGCTTACCTAAATAGTAGTAAAAACCCGTATATTTCAGCAATCATGCCAAACACTGGCCATCCCAGCAAAACAACTGTTATTCCCCCAAAGAAAGCAATAGAAGCTTTAATCTTATGCCTTTGGAAGAAGAAGAAAAACGTCCTTTGTAGTCCAATAACACATGCAAGACCACTTATAAATAAAATCTGAAAAAAATTACAATTAGTTGTAAAAGTAGAAAAAAATAAAAATTTCCAAATAAGTATAGCTTTTGTCTAATAGATTAACAATTATTATTTGAAGCAGGTTGAAGAATCCAACATTATAAGAGCTGGAGAGGGGTCTCCAAGAAACAAGATAATTAAAGGATGATTGATGATGTAATTTTTTAAAATAAATAATAATTCTCAGAAAAAAATTATTTTTTCGAATAATAAAATCATTCAAATAAATCCTGCAGACAATCATTCAAATAAATTATTGCATTAATTATGGTTAGGTCTGGTTAGGTTAAAAAATGATAGACAGAACAAATTAAAAGTGACAAATGTATGGTTCAATCCATTATTATGACCTGAATGAACATCAGAGAACATTTGACTTAAAAAACCTCAATAATGTGAATTGCATACTAACATTTCCAATAGCCAGAAGCCCCTTATCAAATAATAATAGTACTCCAAGGAACAGAAACGTCATTCCAAACCCAGCCAGGCCAACGCCTATCTCTGTAATTGCAAAAAAAAATATTACAGGAGGCATAAATATGTATATTACTAGTGCATAAAATAAATAAGATTTACCAAGTCATCACTAATCATGTGTGGCTCAGAAGGAAACACGAAATAAAGTAAAACTATGAGACATCATATAAAAACTCATTTTACAGAATTGGTTTGGTAAATCCAGAAATAAGCTTTGATACATTATAAGGGCTCTATTTCTTTTTAATTCAAATAAATATTTTGCTATATGTAGTTTGTTGGTGGTCTGTTGTAATATATTATAAATCAAAGCTTAACTTGAGTGACTTGCATGAGGTTTAACACTGAATTTAAATGGTTTTCATAACATAAATTAATGACACCAACTATTAAAATACATTCAACTTATCGATATCTATATCAAACATGTCATTGCATAAGTTTACTAATAAATTAACACTTAAATACACAAAAAATCCTTTGGCATAGTGATACGTTAAAAAGGCTCAATTACTTACTTTGTGTATCAGTTATCTCAATCATGTTGATAGTTGTATATTCCTATTGATTGTAAAAACAATTTCCACTACTTATTTTACATTAATCATTTGTAGTTATTTAAATATGAGATAAAATACAAATCTTTAACAAACTACTCCACGTCATTGTGAAACGTTAATTGTCATCGCGGTTCGAATCACGATTCACCATTGCCGTTGACACTTGACACATGATATTTGATTTAAAGAGTTATTTCATCTACCTCAGTTACAATTGAGGTGTTATTTGGAAAAACAGCCAATGTCAAAAATAAAATAAAATAACATTTTGATGTCTATGGTTAGCTTCATACTTTCCTCACAACATCCAAAATCTGATTTTAGACAAAACAACTTATGTCAGAAGTTATTGAAAGATCAAAATTCAATGCTATTGGGAAAAACTACCAATGTCTAATGCATTTTTGGAAGAACGGCCCAAGTCAAATGACATTGGTGTTTTTTACCAAAAAATGCTGGAAATATTTTAATAACCACGTGATAACCACTTTCAATATATCTTGGTTCATGTATTGAAACTTTTCAAGAAAATAACCCACATATATCCAGTCAGAGGTCACACATATCTACCAAATGATGAAGATTTTGCACTTATCGCCAAAAATAAACTGGTATGTTCCCCTGAGGTTCCTGCTGATTGGGACAAAATTATTCAAACTGCCAGAAAACATCCCAGCCCATTTAATGTTATATCAGTTACACAGGATTACTTTTTTAATTTAAAGGCAGCGGTTTCACCATTCTTTCTAAGGACTCCAAGACCAGCACTTCAGCTCCGCAAATTGCGTGTTATAACAACATCTAATAATCATGAACACATCAAGGTAAAAGAAAACTTTACAGGACCTTCTACACGCTGTGTATTGTGTAATTCGCAACAAACGGCGCCTACCTGAAGAGTTGATACTTGATCCATTATACTTAGGACCACTGAAGATGTCGAATGGGAATATATCAAATTTAATACATTTGAGTGAGTTTCTCACAAAACAAGAAAACAGAGATTTCTACCTGCAATTTGCACCAGATGCAGCAGTCTCTGATGGTCATATTAATGATGATGACAATGTAGAAATAGAGGTGACGATAATAGTGAAGGATGTGATGAGTAATTTGCATTTGTAAAGCATTGTCTATTTTAAGAAAATAAAAGCCTTTTTATGAAAGTTTTTGTCTGATTTTATTTGAAAACTAACCAATGTCAAACATAAATTTCAATTTTACTGAACTTCAGGAAAACTTTTGGCATTAAAACATAGCACAAACCATTGCATGTCATAGTATTTACAATAAATCAGTAAGTATACTTCAAATTATTTGATTATATCTATTGTAAACCTTATTTTATGTCTCCTGTAAAATTGAGCTAAATAGACATTGGCTGTTTTTCCAAATAACCCCTCAATTTAAGTAAGTACCAAGACACACACAGCATATCATTGCTACTCAAAAATGACAATTGACTCATTACTCATTTCATACACTGTATCTGTAGTTGATGTTTGACTGACTGATGATTATGTACATAAACTTTCAAAAGAGCGTCTGTGTTTCCAATATAAGTTTTAGATTTTCCGGCTTTAAGTTTTCAATTACAAAGTTTTCCATTCCTAACAATTATTGTAGCTTTACCAGAAAACATAGCATCGAGTTTTTGTACGTTTGTACATATAAGTGTTTATGCAAATTAAGATATTAAAATAGGGATCAGTGAAACAATGGTTCGCGGCGGCAGGGGCCGAGGTATGCCTGGACGAGGTGGAATGGGTCGTCCGCCCTTCAATAGGCCCCGAGTTATGATGCTAAGGCCTCCTTTCGACCTAATCCTAGCTGAGCCCGCTTTCCCTAGATGTAAACCGGCCCCTGATGATACAGCCTTAACACAGGTTAGCTAAACTAGGTTATAGTGAATCTACATAAAATTACCACTACTTGCTAATAAGTTTTTTTTCACCTGTAATTTCAGCATTACCAAAATAAATCACAATATAACATCTTACATTTTAATGTATGTACATCATGATATTCAATCCTATAACTAACCGAGCATCTAAATTCAGAAATACAACTGTTATGTGGGTGAATTAGGTACCAGAATGAATCTGTTTCATTTAACTTATAGAAATAATTTATGTAGTGTTCCTGTTCATCGAAAAAATAAAATTGAATGGCAAATGTTTCAGGCTCTTTTGAAGAGGCATGCAGAGCTATGCCCTACACCAGGAGAGCAGGCTGCTGTCTTGAGTCTTGTCACAAAATTACAGACTGTTCTTGATAATTTAGTGGTTGCTCCTGGGGACTTTGCTGCATGTGTAAGTATTCATTTATAAAATACTTTCATCTTTATGACCAAAATTTCTGATAACAGGGCATAAAAGTATTAAGTAAGAGAAAATCAAGTATTAATTAACAAATTACGCACTATTAACTTTTTTACACACACATTACACCACTTAATTGTAACATTTAGTAATGTATAAAGAGTCACTAGGTGGTCATGAAACATTTTACTAGACTTTGGTAAAGAAAAACATTTCGGCGCGTTACATGGGGTCCTCTTGTCAGCTACACTAAGCAAATTTCTCAAAAATAATATGTAGTACATAAACATTAATTTATGTAGGAATCCTCGAACATGCATTCCGTTTTCAAGCATAGACAGTGTGTTATAATAAAAAAATCGAAGACCTCCCCTTTCCCCCCTATAGTGCTTAGGTGATACTTGAATGGCCCCAAAGTTGAAATAGTAAAATAATATTACATTTAAAGTAACCTTTATCTACAACAGTATCAAACATTTAGGTAATTGTTAATTGTTTTGTAATTTTTGTTAAATCTGATCTAGTTTATGATAATTCGCAGCAACTGGAGGAAGTGCGACAAGTGGGCTCATATAAAAAGGGTACAATGATGGCAGGCAAGAATGTTGCCGATATTGTTGTTATTATGAAAACTTTACCTACCAAAGAAGCTGTGGAAGGACTATCCAATAAGGTAAATGTTGTTTTTATTTGTGATTTCACAATAGAATGTTTAGATAAGCCCCACTCGTCTGTAGGTTTGTTTCAGTTTCTAGTAGGGATGGATCCGATACCGATATATCGGCGATACTTTGGGTTTGCCGATATATCGGTATCGGCGATATTTTAATTACCGATATAACGATACTTTTCAAATTTCGCGCTTTAAAAAAGTCATATAAACGTGCATCTTGTTTGATCAGGGGCGTTGCACGGACTATCTTTGCCCCTCTTACCCGCTATGTCCCCGGGTATTCCTTTTAGCTAGACACTTTAGTTGGCTTTTAACTGTTATCGCGCGTAGTATTTTTTCGATACCAAAGTAAATAAAATACAGAATTACAAAAATCTTATCAATGTTAATTTTAATTATTAACCGTTATTTATTTTAATTTAACTATCGGTAACTCTTAATTTTATTTCTAAACCTTTAATCTTATTCAAAGTTTGTGACTGTTTATATTTTACCTTAATTCAATAATCGTTAGTATCGGTATCGGCGATATTTCTATAAGAGTATCGGCATCGGTATCGTATCGGCAAAAAGGCGTATCGATGCATCCCTAGTTTCTAGTATGTTCCCAAGCTCGTTACAGTATTTGATAATGAAATTTATTTTATTAAACATAATAAGAAAAAGCCTCTTTTATTATATGTATTGTAATTAAATGTTTTAGGTGAATGAGGAAGTAAACAAGCTCATGCGAGCTGAAGGTCTGGGTAATGTGTCCAGTGCATGTCACGAGCGAGGGTTTACGGTCACAGCGGCCAGTAGTGCTGTTCGAGTGTTGGTGACTACGCTGCATCATAACTTAAGGAAACTGGAGCCTGAGGTATGAATTATGATATTCTTAATTCCATGTCTGACAATCAGAGGGCTTGCAAGTACGTTGCCGGCCTTTTAAGGGTTGGTACCCTCATTTCTTGGAAAAGATAAAGGAAAGCTACGCTCGCCAATACAGCATGAGCTGAGCTCTAAAGGCCCTCAAGGCCAATTTAAAAAAAAAGTTTGATAGGTTATTTTCATTTACTGTAATGTTTAACAGTTATACACTATTAGAATTAGACAGGCGAAGACATTATTTACAAGCATGTTACGTCATCGTAGACTAATCTGTGACCGTTTTGTCTCGTGACCGGTGTATGAAAATATTTTTAATTATGCATTTTTTTTAAACCAAGTTTTTAACACTTCATACTGTCAAATAGTGTGTATTGTGTGTGTCAAATATTGGAATATATTCAGGTTCATTTGGAGTATAAAGTAATAAGCAGCCATTTGGCAGCGATCAGACACAGCCGGTGGTTTGAAGAGAATGCACATCATTCATCGATTAAGGTACATTTTTTGTTTTACTATTATTATTGAGTTATTGGAGAGATTTATTAGTAGTGAATTAACATTAGGAAGGTCATGAGTATAGGAGCTGATTTGACTTATCCAAAAAGTAGGTAAATAGTACAGAAGCTGATCTGACCTACATCGAGAAGTAATTAAAACTGAAGCTGATTTGATTTTATAAAATTAGATAATGAAGGTAAAAAGGGGTTGATTAATGGAGGTCTATAGTACTGAAGCTGATTTGACCTACACCGAAAAGTAATTAAAAGTGAAGTGGATTTGACTAAATAGAATTAGGTAATAGAGGTCATTAGTACAGGAGGTACAGAAGCTGATTTGACTAGTCAGCCTAGCAAATGTCTTGTTCCGCCGTATTATAAAGTGACTAAATATTTTTGTTACCATGGTAACGTCAAGATCCCAAAGTCATATTCAATGTTTCCAGGTCTTAATCCGTCTCCTTCGCGACATGTGCGCTCGCCACTCCGGCCTTGAGCCCCTGACCCCCTGGATGATAGATCTCCTAGCCCACCACTGCATCATGAACAACCCTGCACGACAGGTTCTGCCCATCAATGTGGCTTTCAGGTAAGAAATGTGAATTCTTTAAAAGTACTGGATGTAAACGCGTAATTTTCAGACGTGCTACTGAATGTACCAATGATTTGCTATGGCCCTATTGCTTCATTGGGGTATAGGGCATATTGATGTGTTGAATTTACCACGTTTACTATGCACTAACTAAGCATGGTCACACATGGTCAGGTGCATGGTCACATAAATGATCAAGTTTTATAATCAACAGGCGTGCCCTATCCCTCCTCGCCGGTGGGTTGTTCCTGCCGGGATGCGCGGGTTTGCCAGACCCGTGCGAGGCGGCTCATGCCCGGGCCCACACGGCCTTGGATCTACCGGCGCAAGATCACGCAGCGGCGACTGCGCAGACGTGAGTATAATTTGTTTTTTATTGTCAATAGTTTTGTTCTAAAATATTGTTTTATTAAGGGAATAATAAATTGAAAAAAACTGAGTCCAAAACATCTGTACAGCGCTTAAAGCGGGTGAAACGGGGGGAAGCAGCTAGTATTATATTGACTTATTTAATTTCGTCGGAAATTGTTAAAAACAAAATATATACATAGGTGTAAACTTGTCTACAAGCATGTTACGTCATAGGATGCGACGCCATCTTGTCTAAATCGGTTTCGTAGGTTCTTGAAATGTGACTCAACGGCCACGGATTAGCCGAACGATGACGTAACATGCTTGTAAATAATAATTTCTAATTCTACTACTGCCTTGGAGTTTTTTTTCGTCGAAATAAGATCATAGATATTCACTTAAAAAACTTGTTTACAAGCTTGTTACGTCATAGGGTGCGACGCCATCTTGTCTAAACCGTTTTGACGGGTTTTAAATATTAAAAAAATAAATGTTATCCAGCCTCCTCCGCGTGGTCGCTCGTGGGGGTCACCGCTACGTGCTTGGACTGCAAGCGTTCGAAGGTGGAAAGGATATATCTACCGAGATCACAGTATGGGACGGCGTCGTGGTATCGCCCTTGGCCCCTGCGTACCACGAAACGCCGGAGCCAATGGACACTGACGACAAAGGTGATGATGAAGAGCATGGGATTTTTCTTTTTATAGAATAGGGGAACGGACAGAAGGCACACCTGATGTTACTGCCCATGGATACTCTCAAAGCCAGAGGGCTTGCAAGTGCGTTGCCGGCTTTTAAATGGTTGAATGTTTTGTTTTATAGAACAGGGGGCGAACGGATAGGAGGCTCAACTGAAGTTAAGTCATACCGCTCATGGTCACTCAATGCTTGAAAGCTCGCGAGTGCGTTGCCGGCCTTTTAATAATTGGTACTTATTGATCGGGGTCCAAACTGGCAGGAGGCTCATCTGAAGTTAAGTGATACCATGGACACTCAATGCCTGAGGGCTCGCGAGTGCGTTGTCGGCCTATTAAATTTAAGAGTGACGGAGAGTCAATTTAGAAGTATGTTTTTTCCACAACTCTCAATATTAAATAATGCGTTAGTTTTGACACAACAGATAATTAATAATTTTAAAACTTTCATAAAAGTTCTTCAAAAATTCATTTTAATCGAATTCCTAAATACTATCTGAAAATATTTTAACAAAAAACTTCAAGTGACAAGCCAAAACTCGCGCCTTTTTTCACAGACTAACGAACTCTATTAAAATAAAATTGTCAGTTTTGACATATGACAGATAACTGTCTAAAATAATACAGTAATCCCCCCTCTAACGCGATTTCCGTCCCTGATATAACGCGGTATTTCCCTTTATAACGCGGAGATTTTTTTAATTTATTATAATAATAAGACACACTTGTTTTTAAACTGTTAAGTCCATAATTAGGTTTTGGTGGGGGGGGGCGGGTGGACCCCCCCCCCCCCCCGGGGGGGGGGGGGGGGGGGGGGGGGGGGGGGGGGGGGGGGGGGGGGGGGGCCCCCCGGCCGGGCCTTGGGTTGGCGTTGGCTTTTGCTTGGCAGGATGTGACTGGCGTACCTTTGGGGGGGGGGGGGGGGGGGGGGGGGGGGGGGCGGGGGGGGGGGGGGGGGGGTTGGGGGGGGGGGGGGGGGACGACTTCTGTTTCAATTGTTACAAAATTAATCTTAAATTCATATTCCTAGTTTTTGAATTGTTCAGAAACGATTTTTCAACGCGTTTTCCTGGTTTTCTGTGTTCTTTACATATGTCTAATATTCGTCTTTTTTTTTCAGAGGAAGACGGAGCACAAGATGGCGTTGCTGCATAAGTGTGAATTTATAAGATTATTAAAATTTAAATATTTTTTTTGTTTTTTAATACACCCTTAAGTATTTTCTCCCTCCAATTCAGTGATCAGCCTCGACGAATGGGCTTGTGTCGTGCGAAAAAATGAAACAAGCAACCATATAATAAAATAAATTGTGCGTGTACTAGGTGTACACACGTAAGAAGTGAAACTTCTTTATGATCTTATTTTTCGAAAAATGATCTACTATATGCAACTTTACAGAAATTCGTTAAATTAGATAAAGTTTAACAAAAGGCTTTTATTATCATAGACATGAATACAAATATTTCATTTTACCTTATTACTACGAAGATTATTATAGAATTTCATTAATTGTAATATAATTATTACTATCATTGAAAAACGTGACGATTTGCTACAAAATTTCTCCCATACGTCGATAAAGAAGTTTCATTCAAGCCGTAGAAGTTTGACTTCAAAAAGCAACATGGCGCGTAACCGAAAAATGTCACGCGTAACGAAGTTTACAAAAAAACAATAATTAATAACTAAAACTAAAAAAAAAGTAATAAAAACCATTCACTGAACCATTAAAAGTAGCACATAAGCGAGCCGTAGGCACGTATAGAAGACTAAGTTCTATACATACTCTGATTTTTAATTCCGTGAAATTCTGACAGCAATCATTTTTGGTATTAGTAGGCAGTGATGCCAGCTAAAGAATAAAATAAAGTAATTAAGTTAATTCGATATATTGTTCGTGATATTGAAATATTTGTTGTTTTTGTATTAGGTCACTCGAGTAAGTAAGTATTAGAATTACCTTTTGTAGGTAAAACATTAGAAATGGGTAGCTTTTTGTTCCCTCAAATGGGTCAAATTTGTCCCTTTTTTGGTGGAGAACTTTTTTAGTAGCAACACTTATGAAATGTCAGAATAACTAGGATTACAAAGGAAAATTTTGCAGGAAGAATAGAATTAAAGTTAAATATTTTATACAAATAAACTTAGCAGTAGAATGAAGTCACCTCGGAGTTTTAGAGTAACTTGAAAAAGTTCAAACAATCTCGTTTTCATATAGTAGTAACATACCTTCGTTAACATACAGTAGTGAATGTTGTGTGTGGCAAAGAAAGAATGAATTCTGTGGAAATGAGAGTAGAAGTACGTGGGGTGTAACATTTCTTATGTAATAGTGAGATATTGAGCAATATGGGTTAAAATAAGGTGACACTGCAAGTATTTCATAGGTGAAGAAAAAACGATAAAAACTATTTTCTTTTAAAAACATATTTTTCTTCGGAGTGAATTTTTTTGAATGAGGACGTTCGTCTACGTTGAGGGAGCGTTCAAGTATTACGTCACGCAATTTTTGGAGATTATTGAATGGTAAATGCGGTAGAAGATGCAAAGAGATCCCACATCTCTACGCAACGCCAAGGGATCAAGCCGCACGGAAAGTGACTGGATGTTGACGATTCTAATCGCTCTTTGTTGAATACCGCTCAAAGGTGAGAACAGTAAGTAGGTACCTACTTTTAGCCTCGCTTATGTGGAGTGCTACCCCCTGTACTATAAACCAGAAACATAGGCCAGCGACAGCATCTTAAATAATACAATTACAACCTTAAAATGGACTTGTATATTTCATCTGACCATAACAGAATTACAAACGAAGTTACTTTTCTCAGGGCTCTTTGTTCGGTTTTTCTTTTTGGACAAAATATCATTCCCCGGGTGTAGTTCACATATCTTTGTTCTCATTGAGAAATTTTTGAGCCTTGAAGACGGAGACACACATGGTTCTGTAAATCTTCTGGAATACGACGACATCGATGACACGGCTGAACTCTTTTTGGTGTAATTTGTACAGACCTTACCGTATATATCCAGGTGTTGGATGCAATTTAGGTAATCACACCTTTTATATTTCTCATTATCGTCAAAACACGTTAGTGTTCCAACGGACGGCATTTTAATTTATTTCATGTTTCACGAGAATTTTATAAAGTGACTCATGTCACTCACCTAGTCATGAAATAGACAACTTTCAAACTCAAAATAATTTCATTCATATAGGTAAACAAGTACACTTATGAACGTCAACAGAAGTGATGTTAAATTAATTCTAAATTTACTACCAGAGAAGAACTAACAAGAAACTCTTCGCCACTCTTTTTAATCGCCAAGTTTTGAGTCATACAAATTGTATGGACTGGAGCAAATAAAGCCCAAGAATTAAAATCATTTAAATATTCGTCAAATAAAAAGCTTTATTGATTAATTTACGTTAAATTAGAGCTTTGAATTTATTTAGTGATAATTCTTTAATTTCGCTTGGGATTTTGTTGTAAAAACGAATACAATTTCCATATAAGGAGTGGTTTTTCTTCTAGAAGCCTGGTTGGTCGTACGCTTAGATTACTTTTGTTTCGAGTATTATACTGGTGAAAGTCGCCATTTGTTTTAAAAACGTTTATATTTTTTTTGTACATACAAGAAGGCTTCAAGAATATATTGCCCATCGACGAACGACACCAGGGGACGCGAGCGCGAGAGTGTAGACAGTGCGTTCGCGTCGTGTCTCGCAGCCTTTAATTTTTGAATAGAACCTTGCTGTTGGCCTTAAGGGCGTTTAAAGCTAAGCTCGGGTTGTTTTGGCGTAGCCCAGCTGGAATGGGCGTCTTCTCGCGCCACTAGCGCAAGGCCGTCTCCTGCGAGACTTGGACCTCAGATTGGCGTACCATAATCACCAAAAAAAAAATCAAAGACCCCCCCTGCTTACGTAATACTTGAACGGTCCCAGTTCACAGTTTTTCGATACCTTCGGATTTCGATAACATATCTGAGTGATGTTATAAGGGATTCAATGGAGTAAATAAAAAATGAAACTACAAATTAAGGTCTTTATATTTCAAAAAGTTGTAACAATAATTTACTTTTTACTGCATATAGACAAAATAAAATTAACTTTAAAATGGCTAGGGCTACATTAAACTAAAACATTACATAAATACTGCGGTAATCTCGTATATAGCCGTTTTCAATATTTCTCTTACCATAGATAATAAACAGAAAAAAAGTCTAAGGTGATAAAGTTAAAGAATGTTTCTGTCACTGTCACATGACAGCATCTGTCAAATTGAAATTACCTTACGCTTGGGGCTTGAGACACAATTACTTTTCGACCCACCAATCCTATACGAACACGTGTGGGACTTCAACAGGCTGTCACGTGATAATTTCCATACAAACTAGACGGTCACGGCCGTCGAAAAGTGATGGTCTCAAAAGACCCTGGGCAATTCTGTAAATAACGAGTAAATAAGCTTGGAATTTCTAATATACCGTTAACAGATATCACAAATTTGGCTACGTGATGGCGTAAAATTAATATTGAAAACGACATCAAATAATCATGTTAAATAAAAGAAATCCGTCTGCACCAAATTGGACCCCAAGGCCCTTAGAAACTAAAATTACACAGAAGTTTCAATATCATAAAACGCGGGTACCTTTTACGATTATTAAAAGACCCCAAATTTGTATAAAAAGTTAGCAGCTTTGAGCAAAATTCTCATTTTAATGTGTTCACTGCTAAGTTCCAAATTCCATATGAAAATATATCGTTACTTTTCGGATTGTCTTAGATTAGCAGGGTCCTTACTATGTAACTTCCATTAGCAAGCTCCAGTCTCTGTTAAGGATTCCAAACATTAGCGCAACGGATGGTGAACTACAAAAATCGTCAGGATCGCTTTTGGAAGTTTCATAGTAAGGACTCTGTTATATGCTGGGTTATTGAAAATATGCAACTACCCACAGTTAAATCACCAGCTGTTTACAAATATTGGAATTGCTCTGGTCTTAATACTTGATGTGTTATATACTGACTTGTTTAAAATTTGTAACTACCCACTTTTTAACCAGTTGATTAATAAGAGTTTATAAGTAGATTATAAGTAGAATGCAAACGGATTAAGAACCTAAAACAATCGAAGTCTACTAGTGCATGGACTATAAAAAGTTTTAGTTTACTAATTTAAACTATGTGAGACATTGGCTGTCCTTTTCATAAATTTTAAGAAATACCCTCAACATTTCATAAATTAATTTAGTAAACTAAACTTTTTGTCTGATAATCTTAATTATGCTATTGTACATAGAAAATAAACCTCTAAAGATATGTTTGTACATGTGACGGTGTTAAGTGTATGGAAGGTTCTGTTAAACTTAACATACTTTAGTTCAAACATTGGCCGGAAGTGTGTGACGGGAAGTGCGAGAGCATTTTAATTTAATAATAGATTCATTTGAATAAAATCGTTTAAAAATAGGCTTTGAAACACTTAAATCTACATAACAAATTAGTGTAGTGCATATCGTTGTTAAAAAGAAAATAGACAAAGAAGACTAGCCGTAGTTCTGATTGTCTTTGGTTAACCTATAGAACGGAAATAAGTAGACAAGAAATACTGTACATGAAAAAATATTTTCCACTTACTATCTAAAAGTCAAAAAGACCGAAAAGCATTTGTATGTACAAATATACACTCACAAAAATTTTGACTATCCAACCTTATCTATGGAAATAAAAAAATAAGTCCGTCAATTTGAATTTCAAACAACCCATTAACGCACACGCACCAACCATTTTTAAAATGGCGTTAGTATTTTCATATGTATCACGTGTGCGGGAAGTCTCCAAGTGTTTCCAATGGTCAGATAATATACCATTCGTAGCAATTACCAATGGTTTTCCTGACGGATTATTTGCATTGTGTGCCTCCAAACGTTTAGCGTCGTTGCTACTATCAAAACTATCGTAAGAGAACCATTGGAACAGCAAACTTGGGGCTGATTATGTTAAGCAGTCTCGACAAAGCACCTCGAATCTCTCAATTCCTAAACTAACCAAGCCTTACCCTAGAAACGCCATTTCAAAAAAGCCATAAATATTTTTTATTTGGCACTTCAAAGCTCCTTATTATTAGGCCATTTTATTGTAAAATTTAACA